GGATTCACCAGAGACAGAGCGGAGAATAGAACAGGCAGACTGATGAAATACACTGCTGAGGGGAGCAGCAGGTGTGACAGGAGAGGTCTGCCGCACCATGTGGGACCCTCACTGGCCAGCCAGGCAAACCAGAGCTGCTGGGGCTGCACACAGTTTCACAGCGCGGCGCTCAACCACCTGCGCCACCAGGGGATGCCCTACATAAATCAATCTTTAAAAAAAAAAAAAAAGCTAAACTGAGATACCACTACACACCCACAGTGGCAAAATTTTAAAAATCTGATCATCAATAATGACAGTTCAACAGATGAGGACGACAGGACCTCTCCCCTCTCCCTTCCAGGAGTAGGAAAGCAAGTGGAGATGGAGTGAATAAGGATCATGCTTACATGATGAAGACTCCCTAAAACTCCCAGTAGTAAGGGGCTCAGCAAGCTTAGGTGTTGGTGAATCATCTACGCGCCGAGATGATGCTACACCCCAACTCCACATGGACAGAAGTTCCTGAGCTCAGGGTGCTTCCTGACCTTGCCCTCTGCACCTCTCCATCTGGGTTCTTGACCGCATCCTTTGCCATATAACAGACTGGTAAATATGGGTGTCTCCCTGAGTTCTGTGAACTGTTCTGGAAAATGGTCAAATTCAAGGAGGACGTCACAGGAACCTCTGACTTAGAGCCAAGTTGGCAGAAACTTCAGGTAAGATGCAACCTATTATTACTTGCAATGGGCATCTGCAGTGATGGTGGGAGGAGAATCTTATAGGACAGAGCCCTTCACCTGTGGGGTATGTTCTAACTCCAGGTAGTGCCACAATGGAACTGCAGGACACCTCACTGGGGTCTCTGAAAATTGCTTGGTGTGCGAATAAAACATATCTGGTATCAGAGGTACTGCACACACAAATAGTCCACATTTTCCCTTTCTAAACTGGACTTTTTCTTCTCTTAAATTCAAAATAGTTGACATAGTAAGAGACGGAGACGATCAAAAGTCAATGGCGAAAAATATTAAAAAGACAAAGCATTCTAGATTTGTGGTCAGGTAGTTAATTAATAAAAATATTATGTTCCCCCCACCCCGGAGTTTTTAATATTTATCTTTCTACATTTTCAAAATGTATAATTTGTTATAATTATTTTTCTCATCCTAGTCAACATCAACCTTCAAAAATTCATACAATATAATTCCCTTTATGTTAACTTCAGCAACAGACAAAATTAAGCCATGTTGCCTAGGATGCTTAAATAAATCATAAACTAGGTTTGATGTGTCGTGTGAGAAAAGAACATTTTTATGTCCCTCTCTAAGGAGGCTGATGAGGTGGTGAACGGGAAGAAAGACACAGGTTGCGCTCAACTTGTGTGACTTCTTGACCCCAAGTGGTGGTCACGTGGGTACTGGCATTCTGACCATATTTCAATCAGTATTATAAAACTTTTATGTGCATTTCTGTATAGATATTATATTTCAAATTATATATTTGTAAAAATCATAATGAATTAATAAAACTGAAACTAACACAGGTACTACGCAGGAAAGGAGAGTCTGTAAAATTAAAAACAGAAAGGCACTATCGCAGGAAAATAAAGTTAAGATTAACTCTCTGGGGCCTCCCCGGTGGCGCAGCGGTTGAGCACTGGTTTGCGAAGCTGCCCGCAGCCTCTGCAGTGCCGGTTCGATCCCCGGCCACGGGAGGAGGCTCCCACATGGCGCACAGACCTCTCCTGCTGCCCGCTGCTCCCCTCAGCAGTGTACTTTGGTCCTTCTGCCTGCTCTGCTCCCCGCTCTGGCTCTGGTGAATTCTCTCACCCTCCCGTGCTTCTGACTATATCCAGTGCTTGTATGTATAAATAAATAAAATCTTTAAAAAAGAAGAAAAAAAAAAGAAATTACTGAAACTAAATAAAAAGGAATTTGCCATAATGCTTTAAAAAAAAAAAAAAAGATTAACTCTCTGGGGCCTCCCTGGTGGCGCAAGGGGTTAAGATGCAGCACTGTGAAGCTATCCACAGCCACTGCAGCATAGCACAAGTTCGATTCCCGGCCAGAGAAGTGACCACATGGTGCAGCAGACCTCTTCTGACTTGCCCACTGCTCCCCTCAGCAGTGTACTTCACTAGACCCACCTGTTCTGCTCTCCACTGTTTCTGGTGATTCTTCTCACCTCCCCACACCTCTGGCCTGTACCCCAGTTCTTGTATGCATAAATAAATCTTTAAAACACACACACACACAGATTAACTCTCTAACTGCAGGCATAGGTTAACAATTCTGATACTGGGCCTGCCCGGTGGCGCAGTGGTTGAGCGCTGCACTGCGAGGCTGTCCACAGCCTCTGCAGTGCTGGTTCGATTCCCCGCTGGCCAGGGCGAACCACACATGGCACAGCAGACCTCTCCTGCCTCGCCCGCTGCTCCCCTCAGCAGTGTCTTCGGTCCGTCTGCCTGTTCTGCTCCCCGCTCTGGCTCTGGTGAATTCTCTCACCCTCCTGCGCTTCTGACCTGTACCCCGGTTCTTGTGTAAAATAAGTAAATCTTTAAAAAAAAAAAATTCTGATACTGCTACACACGTCTACTGGAATTGTGCAGTTAATTAGATGGAAGGTGTGTGGACTCCAGGTTTCTCAAGCTGGAGTGGGAATTTACTGATAAGCAAGGGGAAGAGGCTAGAACAATCTATTTGCTAAGGGCCTAGGGCTGGAGACATCAGTAGGAAAACCCCTCTATACAGTTATAGATGACTACACATGGAACTGTTTATGTGCATGTGTACACATAGGTTGGTGTGCAGAGAAGGTTATAAACAATCCACAGAATTTGACAAAATCTGTGATTAAAAAATAAAGCCATAAAACAACATACTTATGTATACACATAAGTGAATGATCCTATCAATCACTGAAGGATATTCATCAAACTGAGAAAGAAGATGAGATTGGGGAAGGAAAAGGGTGGATTCTTAGGGTTTCTTTCCTTTCTTATCTATGCATCTTTCACACCAAGAATACTTTTATATATTTAAGTTTTTTCTCAGTGAGAATAGCAGGAAAGGTTAGAGGGAGAAGTGGCAAAAGTTTTACATTGAAAGGATCTCCCACGTGAGTGCTGTGTGCCCTGGGGCCGCTGTGAGTCAGCACTGGTCTGCTGCCTGGTGGATGCCTGCAGAGTGCCCTCCAGCTCTGTTTCCCTGGAGAAAAGAACAGCTAGGACACTGTGGAGCAACATGCCTAATGGTAAAAATGACCCAAGTGGTAAAATGCAAAACAAGGGAACCATAAACCTCTCAGAGCACACCACACTTTGGGGCTTCCCTAAATCAACACTTTGGGAGTAAACACATCTTAGCCTGACTATGACCTTGCTGGGACACACAGGTCAAAAGACACAGCAAAAAATACACCCGGTCTAAGTTACAAGGACACTTTAATAAATTTGCACCAAGTGAGCCAGCTACGTGTGGAAAAGTCCTTCTTAAATTCTAAATAGCCTATGATATTTTTCATGACTGACACCTAAATTGCCCTATAAACTATAAATACTCATTTTAATCATTCCCCGAGTTAGATGTAAGCAACAATATTTTGCGTTCAATTACACGAAGGCGTTTTGGGTGAGTAGCAAGGCATAAAACTAATTCACTACACAACCATAATAAATTTATGGTCCAAATAAATTTTATCTATAATTTCCCAAACCACCATGGAAAGTTAAATCATTCATTTTATATAGTACAATACAATGTGGGACTATATAAAAACTAAAAAGCAGAAAAAAATTTTTCCAAAGGAGCTGGCTTTCTTGAGAAAAATGTTAATGTATTAAGAAGAAAAAAAAAGATCTTTAGATAATTTAACAATCAAAATCACTTCTTTTAAAAAAAAAAAAAAAACTGATCCCCTGGTGTAAATCACTGATGAAAAATACATTCTAGATAAAGACAAGACAAAACTTGCCAGAACAGAAGTATGGGTATGCTTGAAATAGCAAAGAACGACATTTGCAAACATTACACAGCGCTCGGGCATATCTGCCGCAGTCTTTCTAGAAGAACGGTGCCAGTAACTGCAGCTGGAGACACCGTCTCAGCTGGCCATAGAGTGGCAGCAATGGAACCAAATTCAGTCTAGGCCATGCAGCACAGAGCACACATTCTTTTCAACTATACCTTATGCTACCACTTCTTGTGAGGGATCCTTAGAAATACAAGGCATAGCTCCCCAACCCCACTCACTGTCTGTTTCAATGGTTCTAGAGAGATTCTGGAGATCCTCAAACCAAAAGGGCATTGATCTCCACAACTCTACTTTCTGTAACAGGTCAGAAGGAGGGGATTCACACACACACACACACACACACACACACACACGCGCGTGCGCGCACATATACACACTCAAGCATACAGGCATGCATGTGAAATTTTTCCCTTTCTAAGAAATCTTCATTCCAAGTATCACGGAGTTTTAAAAGTCAGATGAGATACCTTGTTTGTTTTCACTGAATCCCTTAGAGATATACAATCAACTTCGGAATAGTTCTTACCTCTGATGACAAAATGGAAGAATGGGCTATGGCTAATGTTTTGCCTCTTCAGTGAAAAAAGTGAGACAGGTTTGAAGTCAAGTATGGCAAGAAGTTCTCATGTGTTCTTAAATCAGAGTGAAGAGTAATATGAGCACCCTGGTATTTGTCACACTTTTCCGTATGTTTAAAATACTTAATATTTTTTAAAGAAATATAAATTTACAGTATTATTCCAAAACACAAGACAGGAGGGAAGCATCAGTGCTCAAGGTTGCTCCTTGGAGAAGGCAGCAGGCAGTCCCTGCGATCACTTCAAATTTTGAAGGGCATAGCCAGGTTTATAGTACGCCCCTTTGTTGGTTACAGAAAAAACAAGCACGTCTGGCTTGCACTTGCTTAAAGCAATGCGGCTTTTCACTGTGAACAAGATGATTTGAAGGAGGATGGAAGGGAAATTGCCCCTCTTGGGTTCACATACCTGTGTCACTCCCAGATCCTGTTGACAGAGCTGGCATGATGCAGGCAGCAGGCTGGGGCCCTGCTCCACACTCTGGCTCAGACAGCCCTGGGGAATTCCAGCTCAGCGGCCTGCAGCCCACGCTGTCCACCAAGATTTATATGTCACACAAGCTGTTTCTACAAAAGAAAGGTGCACTTTAAGAAGAAGGAGGAATATTATTCCATACCAGCATTTCTGTGACTAACTCAAAATTCTTATCCTAATGACTAGAAAGGTCACACTTCTTCAGAATTTTTTTCTACAGACTATACACTAATATTAAGTGTGAAGGTTTATATCCTGCTGTGAGGTTTCTAATTAAAAACATGAAAATTCTTCCTGCAGGTATTAAGGCTTCCTTAAAGATTTTTGCATGTTGGTCTAAGAGCTGTTGGCTGCATAGAGAACTTGGAGAACTTTTTGTAATCCAATGCCATTCTAAAGTTCCTTCCCTCTATAATTTTAAGCTATATTTCTAAATGTGGATCAGGACTCTACAAATTGTCAACAATTTATCACCAAATGTAATTAATTAGTTCATCCTAAAATGATGACTGCCAAGTTCTCTGACTGAAAACTACAAATATATCCTTAAAAGCACACCAGCCCTGAAGCAAAATACTATTAGAGATTGACAGCAGTGTTAATAATCTAAACTAAACCTAAAAAGCCAAACTTATACACAAAAGTAAAATCTTTTAATAAAAACTAATCTTTGAGCCTCCCTGGTGGCGCAAGGGATTCAGCACAGCACAATGAAGCTATCCACAGCCTCTGCAGCATGAGTTCGATCCCTGGCCAGGGAGCTACCCACACAGCACAGCAGACCTCTCCTGGCTCACCCGCTGCTACCCTTAGCAGTGTATTTCAGTCAATCTGCCTGTTCTGTTTCCCACTCTGTCTCTGGTGAATCCTCTCATCCCTCCACCCCTGCCCTGCACCACTGGCCTATCCCCAGTCATTGTATGCATAAATAAATAAATCTTTAAAAAAAAAAATTAAATTTTGATGTATCTTGCAAAATATCCATTTTTTCAATAACTATTGGGATAAACTGTTTATCCCAAAATAAACAGTGAAGACATTACTGTATAGTAACTAAGAACAGGGCTCTAGAGTTTGGCCTAATTGCTAATTCTGTGACTTTGAACAAGTTATATCATCTTATTAATTCTTCATGTCCTTAAATGCAAATAGAGAGAACAGCAATTCTGAACTGTCGGATAAACACGCTAATGTGAACAACTCAGTGTCTGGTGGATGGCAAGGCAGCAATAAAAGCTGGTTATTCTGACTGAGGCGTTCTCACTCAGGTAAGAATATAAAATGAAAACAAAAGAAAGTAGCAAGATTAAAATTTACATTGGCCTGACACCTAGAAGGTGGCCATGTGGTTTAAATTTGAACCACTGCTGCCTAATAACGGAAAATACACTGTATTTACATTTTTTTTTAGAAACCAGAAAACCCACACGATGTGTTTAAGTTCATTTTAATGCATTTTCCCCAGTTGCTTGAAAGCAAACACAGCAAGTTAAAAGCACATTTTAACATATATTAACAAGAAAAACAGATACTGTAAATACGAAAAAAAAAAAGGCTCATTTCAATTCTTAGAGACCCTAAATTACAGAATAAAGAAAAACAAGCTTGCTAGATTTCACTTTTAGAAGTTTAAACTGTACATTTCTATTAAAGCCTTCCAAATTAGCTTTTTGATAATCAAAGTGAACATTAATATAAAAAAATTCACCAAAGAGTCATTTTTGGACCCGACTATCTGGTGCAATGCCTTAAACTTTATATGACTACCAAGGCTGACATAGCTAAATAAGCACACCAATCCACAGAAAGGAGTGTTAATTAAAGATATGAGGGCTGTTATTTTAAAAACCAAGTAAAAATGTAAATCACAAAGTTAAAAAATTTAAATTGAGCAAAAAAGACAAAGTGGTCTCATTAATTCCAATCTCTAAAGTTGCTTTCCCCAATAATTTTAAAAGGCAACTCTGCTTTGCTTTCTTAAGCTATTCTAACAATCAGGATTAAAATTCAACTACATAAAAGAGTTCCTTAATTCAAACACAAAGAAAGCCAAGAACAGACCATACATAATTTAAAGAATATATCCAATTAGCAGACTTTTGCTTTGTTGCCAAGAAAGAAAGGAAAAATGGTTAAAATTTGTAAAGTGTGTGCACACATATTTCTATCATTAGGACAACATATAATGCATATTTTATATATGCATGTATGTGGGTAGGTATTTATTACATGTATATGTATAAATGTAATTTACCATCTTTGTGCAGTGAGAAGTCAATGTTTCATGTTATCAACCACATACACCATCTAGTAAGTCAATTTATGTTTCTAATAAACATTCTATAAATACTAAGACAACCTTACATTCCATATCAAAACATCCATCTGAGTTGGTACTCTATATATGTACGTAATTTCTCACTTTTTACTTCATAATGAACACTCAAGGTTAAATTTTTCCAAAGTGATATTATTTAAGCAATATGTGCTGCAAAGTAATTCTCTTCTCAGGAACATGCACAGGTACATTAATACAAAATAAATGGTTTGATAAAATCCTAACCAGTAAAATGCTTAATGTTTTGTGGAATGAAGTAGAGTCGCTAGGTTCAACTTTCAAATTGATTTAGATTTCTGTTGTAATCATGGTATTTTCTTTGGCTAAATTTATTGAAAATACTTTGGAATTTGTCAGAACCCAGTCATAATTATTACTGACTGTTGTATGGAATCAATTTACTACAACACAAAAATGCCAGCTGTTATAGCATGTCCTGAGAGGGATTACCGAATATTCTTAAATTGAAGTTCAATCCATCTTTCCATAAAAATGAGAGAGACCCAAACGCCAGGAACATAACAGGGGTATCAAGTGCACCTGAAGCATTTACAATACCCAATAGAACTATTACAACCCTCCTTTAAAAAGGCTTATTTTTGAAATTTCATTATTCCAGTTGTACCTCGCTTCTATATATCACACTATATCAGGTTCTTCTGGCTTCCATCATGTGGAAACAGTGGAAATATGTGAAGGTCTACGAGCTCACACTGTTCAATTTCTACCAACTCTCAGAGTGTCCAAGGCACGCCTGACATCTAGTGGTCAACTGCAAAAGTGCAAGTATTTATAGCAGAAAGTTATTTTTAATTTTCAGTAAAGCACAAACTGCCTTAATCGTTCCCAGTGAAATATTCATTTCATCTACAAAAATTTTCACTGGTTTGCGCGCACACACAAGAAAAAACACACTCCTTCTGCTTCTCCTCTACTCTCAACACTTCACTACTATACACTTCTGACACCAGATGTGGTTTTCCAACATCAAGAAATCCTGCAATAGCAGAATTAGTGCCCCAGAATTTAATTCAATTCTGACACTACTTCCCTGGAGGAAGTATCAGATCCCACGGGGTAAGGCCTCAATCCTACCAGACTGCTTCAGATGTCAACAGCAAGCATAGGTTGGATTAATTTGCTAGCACACCTCACAAAACTCAAGCAGGCAGTTAGTTACTAGATTATCAATTGATTAGAAAAGGATATAACTCAGGAGAGTCATAGGCAAAGTATGTGAGAACGGTGCTAGGTTTCCATGCCCTCTCTCTGCATCCAAATCTCCAGGTATTCATCAACTCACAAGCTCCTGAATAAACCCTGTCCTTTAGGGGTTTGACGGAGGTTTCATTACACAGCAATGATTGATTCGAGCATTTGCCACTGTCCATTGGTTATTGATTCAGCCTGAAGTCCCTCTCCCCAACAGGGGCCCTGGAGTACTGGGCTGTAAGTCATCACCCCCTCTTTCTACCCTACAGTCCTCATCACACAGCAAAAAGAGGGAACTTCAAATCAGTCCGGATCTGATCTTGTCTCTGCCTCACGGGTTATTGTTTAAATATTCAAAGAAAGTTTTAAAAACCCATTTCAATTTCTCATTTTGCAAAAATACATGCAAAATAACATGAAATTTTAAACGATGCTGTTACAAATCATAAAATCACATCACGTTTCAGTATTTTCTATTCCAATAACCATGGAATCTGTCAGTATGCACAAAAAATTACAAATATGCTTACTATTTTTAACATATTAAGGCACTATATGTAAGAAAATATGCTTTACACCACCTAGCACAAAATTCTAGATGTCAAAAAAGCGAGAAAAAGTGTAAAAGACTAAAATACCCCACATTTTAGAAACTCACCAGGGTTCAATAAATTCATAATACAAAACTAACATGTCTCCTTACCACAAATGGAAAGGAGAATACAAAAGCAACAGAAAAGGATCCCACTGAAAGAATCTTATAAACCTTCAAAGACATAAATGAGCAAGCAAGAGAAATGCGGCTTTGTAATTCCAAGCTTGAGAGCCCAGGCTGTGAGGCTGCCAGGGAAGTCTGCGAGGGCTCCAGCCCACCTGTCTGGAAGGGCCGCATCTGCCGGGGGCTGGTCAGAGCTCTGGGGGCAAGCACGCGTGGCCACAGTCATGCTCACCAGCCCTCACCTAAAAGCACAGGTGAGCAATGAACTCATGACCTCACCCACATGCCCCTGCTCCTAGCCGACCACCCAGGCCCTCTGCCACACTTACTCTCAGTGCTCAAAACCAGTGCCTTTCTGGTGCTGTGCCCGCCCTTGCTCCTCACGCTGGGACACTTCTCATATTGGCCCTTTTATTTTTTTTTTAAGATTTATTTATTTATACAAGCACTGGGGTACAAGCCAGAAATGCAGGAAGGTGAGAGAATCCACCAGAGACAAAGCAGGGAGCAGAACAGGCAGAAGGACTGAAATACACTGCTGAGGGGAGTAGTGGGTGAGACAGGAGAGGTGCCTCACCATGTGGGTATCTCCCGGGCAGGCCGGGAATCGAACCAGCGCCGCGGAGGCTGTGGACAGCTTCACAGCGCTGTGATCAACCCGCTGCGCCACCGGGGAGGTCATGTTGGCCCTTTTAAATTGTATTTCTTTTCTGCCGCCCACCACTAAAATAGTCTTCAGGTTCACATCATTAACCATCAGTGGCCCAGTTTTTGTCTCCTATTTTAGCTCTTTCCTCTAATTCTTGGGGACCAAGAAGAATGAC